TCAACTCTGACCGTTGACCGTTAAATGTGTGACGTGGCAAATAAAAAATAATTAAAAAATAAAAATTAATTTTTTAGAAATTACACATCATTATAAAAATAAGTATAATTATAAAAAATGAAAAAAGAAATTATCACAAAAACTTGAACTGCCGCTCCGACCACTCTGTTTCCATATCGGACTTCCAACGTCACCAAATTGGTCGGCGGCATTGGCATCTCGACGACAACCTTCTCGTTCCACTGAGGGTAGCTCCCGCCGTCGGAATCAGCCCTGGTCGACCCGGAATTGAAGAACTTCCTTGAACTCACTCACTCTTGATCAGGTGGAGTTGATCGACAGCGTTTTCTCGACGAAGAACGGAGTCACGGTGTCGGGGGAACAGCTGGAGGAGATCACGATCGTATTCTCCGACGAGCCACATCTGCTGGTCACAAGTATCTGCGCGCCCAAGGACACGAAGCTGACGCTGGCGGGAGCGAGCCTGAGCCGGTTCGCGCGCGTGAATCTGCTGTCGTTGGAATGTTTGGACATCGACGTGTGGGTGAGGCAGCCGTGGAATACCTTTCACAAGATTCTCCTTTCATTGAATTCCTGCTTTTTGGTGGGGCTGCTCCTCTGTTTCAGTCGGTACAGGGAAGAAACAGAGTCGGGTGATGGAGAAATGAGTAGCGATTCGTGTAGCGACGAGAGCTGTAGATGGGGTGACGGGTGTTCATCCGATGAAGGTGGCTCCGAACAGGAAACCCTTTGGCATCTAAACGACAGATTGGGGTATCTCTATTTCCAGTACTTCGAACTATCCACGCCTTATGGAAGAGTCCCTTTGATGGATAAGGTAAAAATTCTCCAGAAAATTTCAGAGATTTGGGACATAAAGAATCAATTTTGTTGGGTCATAAGAAATTCCCAGAACTTATGCAACTCTTTCGAGCAATGTGGATTGCTCCAAAAAAAAAGACACCATCTTCATCAGAATCGGCTTTTTTGGGTATCTGTTCATTGATTAATTAATTCATAGCTCTTACCATAGCTCTTAGATTCTCCTTTCATTAGAAACAGGGGAGGGGGAGAAGTAACAAGAATCAATCTAGTGAGAATGCTAATTCGTTTTCAAGTGTTCGCTACCCTCAGTGGAACGAGAAGGTTGTCGTCGAGATGCCAATGCCGCCGGCCAATTCGGTGACGTTGGAAGTCCGATCTGGAAATAGAGTGGTCGGAGCGGCAGTTCAAGTTTTTTTGATAATTTCTTTTTTTTTTCTTTCATTTTTTATAATTATAATTATTTTTATAATGATGTGTAATTTCTAAAAATTTAATTTTTATTTTTTAATTATTTTTTATTTGCCACGTTACACATTTAACGGTCAACGGTCAGAGTTGACCGCCACGTCAGTCAAAGTTAACGGAGGTTAACGGAGAATGACCGAACTTGAACTGTTCAACTAATTCGAGTGACTATAAATGGAATAAATTAATTTGAGTGGCAAACGTGAAATTTTATAACAATTCGAGTGACCAATCTTGCAATTAAGCCCCAACTATATGTGATGTTCATATATATATATTGTTGCAGGTTGAGCGGAAAATGGGTGACGTTGCTTCATTAGTTGAGGCACCAAACGAGATGGCGGAAGAGGACACGAGAGGAATTGCACCATCTCATGTTCCTTAATCTTTGTGGTTCCGAAACTGCTTCAGCACCACACAGAGCACAGATAACGTACAACGTTTCCGGTAGCTAGTAGCGGAACTAACTCTTGTGAGTTTCCGGATCCATCTTGAATTCGGAGAAACTATCAAACTAAGTAGATTATTGTAGATATAAATAAAATAATAGCTAAGTCTTGAAATTTATTTATCTAAATAATACTTGAATAAAATATAACTTTATCTTTCAAATCTCAAATTCTTGATTTACGCGCATTATCTATCACCATAATTTCCTCTTGTTAAAACTAGTTAGTTTCCTTTTATCCTACCGATGAATTCTCTCTGAAAATAATATCTTGTCTAAAACTAGACAGAGAAGTAAGTAACTTATCATTGTTGCTACTTAATCGTCCAATGCAATGAGCGATGTGAAAATCAATCGTTTGTATCTAATTGACTGGAAAAAATCATAAGTGATTATTTGATATGATATGTTGATGAGATTGATACCATATGCATACATCTTACACAGTGAATTATTTAAAATTTCCTTACGATATTAAAAATAATGATCCAGGGAATCCGAAGCCTCCAAGCTCGGCGTCGACGTCAGCAAGCTGGTGGGGTCGTCGATGTACAGATTTATGTTCAGGGCAGCGTTGGAGATGGCGGCGGAGGAGCTGATGGCGGAATAATAAGGAACCGATGTTGAGGGAGATCATTTACGGGTAGCGACGCTGCAGCGGATCACAGCCCAACTAATTGTTTACAGAACCTGGTGGATATACTTTTGAATCTGCAGGAGGCAGGGGCGGATACATGCATGTCTAGGACACCTCTAAAATTTGGAAATATGATTATTCAACTTCCGATAGTAATTTGTATATGAGGAAAAAAAAATGTTTAAGTGGTAGTGGGACACCCTTAAAATTTAGGAAAACGATTATCCAACCTCTCATAGTAGTTTGCGTATTAGTACAAATAATATTTTAGTAGTAGTTTATGTGATTTAAACTTGAGACACTACCACTATTAGTATACATATTTTCAATTACACTACAACTCATTTGTTATTGTGCTTTAGATCCAAATATAATAGTAAAATGTTATTCTTATCCCAAATTATTTTTAAAACCTAACGATTAAACCCAATTACTGATACCCTTTTCTAGTAGGATATGTCGAGAGATCTTTATTGAGCAGTATAGACACCGAATGTATTTTACCATTTTACGAAACATGTCTGAACTTTTAATGTAACTTTTATTAGTCAGATATTTTCATATTTAATAATTACTTAATTTAATTTTAATATTTAATTTAATTTAATTTTTGAAAGAGGACACCCCTATATAGAATTTCTGGATCCGCCCCTGGCAGGAGGGTAGAAGTGAATTGGATTTCCCGTTGAGTCGTTGACCACTGAATCCGTCAAAGCCGTCGTTTTGGTAAGTCTAGTCTAGTCTAGTGATGGCAATGAGTCGGGGCGGGGCGGGTAACTCAATATCCATGTCCCGCCTCACGCTATTATGGATCGGGATGGGTAATATCCACGTGGGTACGGGGCAGGACGGGTCGACCTACTATTACATGAAAAATACAAGCAACAATTTACTTTTTATGATAAAACGAAGGAGAAAAGACTTCGTGATTGAATAATAGTGATAATATAATGGGTAATTGAGTCTATTTAGTTGAAACATTAAGTTAACTAGTTGAAGAAAAGCCAAAATAGGAGATATATGAATGGATATCATAAGAAATTGACCTAGAATGGGCCAACAATGGGGCGGGTCGAAAGTTGATACCCGTGCCCCACCCCACATTACTGCGGGTCGGGTAATACCCGACCCATCGCGGATCAGGTCGGGTAATACCCTGCGGGGCGGGTTCAAATTGCCATCCCTAGTCTAGTCTCATTCTTTATATGGTTTGGAGTCGAAAATAGTATTTCAAACATTTTTCTAGCTGCAACGGTTAGATTTAGTTTACGGTATTCATCTTTCTAATTCGATTTTATTATGGTTGTACTTAGGACATGTTACGTGCTGGAACGGAAACAAGTGCAACAACATTAGAGTGGACTATGTCTGAATTGATAAAGAATCCAAATGTGATGCAAAGGGTATAAGGTGAGGTGAGGCAAGCATTTGGCGGTAAAATAAATGTTAACGAGGGAGATCTTCATAATCTGATTTATCAATACTTAGTTATCCAAGAGAGTTTAAGATTGCTTGCACCTTGCAAATTTTTACTTCTTCCGAGAGAAGCTCGAGAGAGGGTGGAGATCCTTTTTTTGATAATGATGATGAACTTTATTTAAAGAAAATTAACAAAGAGTACAACACAGACCCACGAGCAGTAGGCCAAGAAAAACAGAGGGGCAGCAGCAACAAAAGCTGCAGAACAAGCAGAATTCGAAGAAAATCAAAGAGGAAACAGAGGCGAGAATGAGCCCAGCAGGCGATCACCCATCAATGACCCCCCAACTCCGGAAACGATCCTGAATGAAGCGCGTCCCTTGCTGATCATCAATCTTCTTATGAGCTACCAACCAGTGGACGATGTTCCTGGTGATTTTCCTGATAACAGTGAATGGAGAGCAACAAGTATCATGGAAATCCTTGACTATGAAATTCCTTGAAATATGAAATTCCTTTACAAACTAAAGTTATCATCAATTCTTGGGCAATCGATCGAGATCCTCGATATTGGAGAGAAGGGTTATATGTATAATATGTCCCTCTACTATTTCATTTTATCGAACATGCCCCTCTACTATTTTTTACATCAAACATGCCCTTGTACTTTGAGAAAATGATCAAACATGCCCTTCTGTTAAAATTCTCATTGAAAAAATCATCAATCATGGTTGAACCGAGATTTAGACGACCCGACATCGGCAAATGAGAGGGAAATTTTTCAGTTTTGTCCCCTATTTTATTTCCTGGGTCTAGTTAAAGTGAAATTATAAGAATCATTTGGCTATACAAAAGAACCAAACAAAATTCTAAAGTGAAATTATTAGGGATATTTTAGACATTTGTGTCTCCCAAACCAAAGTTTGATCGTGGTTAACGATTTTTGGATGAAAATTTGAAAATAAGGGCATGTTTGATAATTTTTCCAAAGTACAAGGGCATGTTTGATGTAAAAAATAGTAGAGGGGCACGTTTGATAAAACGACATAATAGATGGACATATTATACCTATAACCCTTGGAGAGAACCTGGTAAATTCTTTCCAACAATGTTCCTTGATCATCCGAGTGATTACAAGGGAAATCACTTAGAGAATCTTGATATGTCTGAGCATTTTGGAACTATGATTATAAGGAAGCATAGTTTGCACTTTGATTCCAATAGCATATGATGCAATGTCTTGAAAGGATGACAATGCCAAAGGAAACCATGCACTTTGATTCCAATAGCATATGATGCAATGTCTTGAAAGGATGACAATGCCAAAGGAAACCTCCTGGGGAAAAAATGATAGACATCCTTATTATAGAGTCCTCATTTCTATAATGTTTCTTTAATTAATGCTTAATTACTATAGGAAGGATGACATATTTCCTCCCTAATCACTATGTACTAGTTGGCAAGGTTTTGTGACTTCTGTGTAAAAATGAAGTATAGAGAAAGCAATATATGTATGGTTATAGAAAGGATGACATACATCGATAAGCAAGTTCTTTCAGCACTTCTAGGGTTTGCACAGGTTATGGATGTCCTCTACAAGGATGCTGATGGCTACACCAAATCTGGCACTACCACCAAGGATATGCTCCCGGCTTTGCTTGTCACTCCATTCCTCATTAATTCAGCCTGAAACTTTTCTTGGGGGCAAAGATCATTTGTCAAAACTTTGCTAAGAGCCTTTCCATGTTGCACCAGAGTTCACGAGTTTGATGTATGCATTCTTGAAATCTTGAAAGAATGCATCCTGATCATCCGCATACAATTCGATCCATCTGCATTTAATTAATCATCATTCATCAGAATGCGCCATGTATCCAATGCAATAATCATCATGATCTTTACTGAAAGAAATAATGCAATAATCATGAAAAGGTTCAAAAGCTGGACCAGGTTTCAGAGCCAACCTTAAACATTCATTATCTTCCATAAGTGCGTGGTCAGAAGGAAGCCCAATCATGCTCGAACTCCCACCTGTGTGAAAGAGAGAGTATTTGGATACAGAGTTCAGAACCAAAAAAATAACAAAGAAGCGAGGATGATAACCAGATTCGAGGTTGAGTCACCTGGGGACGTCCATGGCTTCTTCAGAAGAATCTTATAGTATGAATTATCAAAAACAACTGGGTCCCCGAAGCCTTTACTACCAAGAGTGTGAGCTCCAGATAGTGCAACAAGTTCCTGTGTACTAAGAATAAGAAAGCAAGAAAGGATATGAAATATCTGAAAATTGACTTGTTTTCTTTCATGCTTGGAATATATACTAATGATTGTTCCGACTCACGAAAAGCCTTTTCTTTGAAAGCACTGCTTCAAACCAGCAGCATCGAGTGATTCCCGAGGAAGTCTCCCCTCTGCATCAGGTTGCCTGTAATGATGAAATAATGGATCAATAAGAATAATAAGAACACTGAACCCTTTTTGATGATCTCAATATCCTGCTAAATCAATGGCTCAGTTCATTGTTAGTTAAACAATTGGAATATAACCTTAACCTTGAAAGTCCACTACCCGATGTGAATTTTTAGAAACACAAAGGTGTGAAGGCAGGATGTCATTTACATTGAATCCAGTCTGCCCATCTGAAGTGGAATTGTGGGACCTCCACAGATTGAAACTGCTTCAGCGCCAGAAAGAGCAATCATGTCTGCCCAGGATACTGACAGAGAAATTCCATGTTAGCAAGGCACCGTCATATCTTCCTTAACGAAAACCTTTAAGAATTTGATATGAACCTGGTTGCATCGCATCCACTACATTTTTCGCCTTTGCCAGAACCTAAACCAGAAACACTGACTCAAAGAGTTAGCTTGCAGGGTTGCATGAGGTTTGTGTAATTTTGGGGATTTCACTGAAACTGTACAATTATATAAGCAGTTTGTACACATTTAGAGCTCAAGAAAGTGGAGAGACACAAGAATGTTAGCTTCTGAAGAGCTAGATAGTAAGAGACCTTGCCTTCACGGATTTGTTTAACCCTGTATTTTCGGGCCTGTCCAGCTCATAGATTATAGAGCCATTCATACCCCCTGTAGCTTCTACAAGCCAATGCACACCAACCATATTTAGTGACCAAAATCCAAAGGTAAGAGAGGCATAGGGTTTACGTCCAACCACTCAGGAGCAACAATGAAAACCATTTACATTCAGAACTAGTTCCCAAGAAGCACCAGGATGTCTACTGTTGCCATGGTGCTATTCAACTATCAACAGTGGATTATAGTGGATTAACCACAAATGCAAGTGATCCCTCATACTTGATTATGATGTACAAGTCGAGATAAAGAAAACAAACTATTGCTTGCGATTCAGCTCTTTTAGAACGCTCAAAGGAACCTAGGTAGCCACAGAAGCTCGATGCTCAAGGTTGTAAAAGCAGAATGTATACAGCTACAAAACATGAATCATATAGGCGACATGAAGCGGGGAGATTTTGCAATCGAAAGTTGTACCTGATGTCCCACTAATCTCAAAGGTTCCTGCATCATGGAAAGCAAGACGAAGCACACCCGCAGCCTTGCCCTTCGACACCACCTTCCTTACCTCTTCCTTCACCGACAGATAAGCGCTCTCGCCTGACCTTTTTGTATCAATAAACAAAGATTTGAAGTCGTCAATTGCAAGTCTCGAGTCTCATTGCTAAACTCTAACAGGTGTAATTAAGTTACCAAGCTAGGATGAGCTACAACAAAAGAAAATCAAACCCAACAAGCAGAAAGAAGGCAGAAGAAACTCACTCGGCAGCAATGGCAGCTTTAACCCCATCTAAGGAATATTGGAGACCAATTACAAGACGAAGAGTGGATAAGGAAACAATCATTTCCCTTCGCCTGAGAGAAACCCCATTAGAATCCTCCCCTGCAGAAAAAAAAAATTCAAGAAATGCAACTGCAGAGGGCAAGAAAATCCCATTAGAAGAAAATTGACGAGCGACGTACCGGTGTCACTGCGACGGAGGGATTCGCAGCGAAAACCGACGGACCGCCGGGATATAATGGGAAGTTTGAAGGTCAGAAACGAAGAGCAGAAGGGATTGGAGGAGAGAAGAGAGGGATTGGTGCGAGAAATCGTTAACGGCTTCATAATTGAACCAGCGGTTCACGCCCTAATGCAAGAAAATACCCAAACAAAGAAGAAGAAGGGCTCCGCAGTAGCTGAGCAGAGGGAGAAGCTCTGCTTTGGAGTTCCTTCCTACTCGCTAGTCGTTACTACAGTGTTCTGTTATGCGATAAGATTCGGCCTTCTTTCTTTCCGCTCTTTCGAGCATTGAGTTCCCTTCTTCCAACGGAAACTGTTAAGAGTGGTGAAAGTGTAATTTTCACAAGGGTTAATACCTTGTTATGGCCTGAACTATGACCAAGTAATCAACTTTGGCCAATGGTTTGAGAAATTAACATCCTGGCCCGATCTATGCAGCATGTTGACAAAATTGGCCTGGAGCCTGGTTTGACCGTTTGTTTGGACGGTCAACACCGTTGACCGTTAGTCAACTGTCCAGGTCACTGCCATGTCAACATAAAAAATCATTTTTTTTTATTTCATTTACAAAAAATTGATTAATTAAAAAAAAAAAACAAAAAAACAAAATCCGAAAAATTTGGCCCACCCATCCCCACCTTATCCCCTCACTTCTTTCCTTTTCGATCAAACCCTATTCCTTTTCCATCTTCTTCCTCCTTCTTCCCCGACGAGACGCCGCCTCCTTTCCCTCCGACGAAAACAAATCCCTTCTCCCCGACGACCCGCCGCCTCCATATCCGAAACAAATCCCTTCTCCCCGACGACCCACCGCCTCCACATCCCAAACGAAATCGAGCTCCCTTCTTTCTTCCTTTCTATCCAAAAACGGCCCGAGACCCCTTTCGCGATCTCTTCTTCCTTTCTACCAGACCCATCTCGAGCTCTCTTCATACCCCTCTGTGCAATAATGTCCAGGCGAGTTGGGAAAATTGCCACCAAAGCTTCATCCTCTTCTGGTTCGTCAACCACGAAGCCCATAAGATGCAACTTCCACCGAGCCCCTTGCGTTGTCAACACTTCTCGAACAGACGACAATCCTGGGAGATTGTTTTATTCTTGCCCGTATTGGAAGGATGAAGAGAAGAACTGCAGGTTTTTTCGCTGGGTTGATGCAGTCACAGAGAGTGACTTTATGCTTGGTGGACTTATGGAAGAGAATGAGCAGCTAAAGTCGGCATTGGAGGCCTTTGAAGGACAACTTTGTAGGGAAAAAGAGAAGGCGAAGAAGAGGAAACAGGACAAGTTGGCACTGCTTGAAGACTTGACGAAGGTGACCGAGATCAATTCAGCTTGTTTCGGTGAATTGCAAAGTATGCGAAATGCGATTTGTGCGCTACAAAATCGGCTAACCGCTTGTGTAATCGTTGTAGTTATCTTTCTTTTTGTTTTGGTGATTGTCCAATTGTAAGCTTGTTGTCTAATTTGTGTAATTTCCTATGAAATCAATGAACTGATCCATTATGTTACCTTATTTGCTTCCTCTTACCATGTTCTTTCATTGAAGCACAATTGGGACAAACACATACAACTTCATTCATTCATAAGTTTAGGACATGGTTCATTTCTAGACCATTTACAAAAGGCGCACTACCTTAGTTTAGGACAAGGTAGTGCCTAAGTTTAGGACATGGTTCAGTTCTAGACCATTTACAAAAGGGGCACTACCTAACTTTGGACCTACTTTACATATTTCTACCTACACCTACACTCCAACGAATCACAATGATCCGTAACATGCACATAGCACGCACAAAATAGGAGTCTTATCTAATTCCTAACATAGCATCTTCTGACTTCCTAAGGCGACTCTGGTTGAGTAGTGGGAGGCTGTGTGGTATTGACAGGAGCTTGGTCTGGTTCTGTTGCTCGTACACCACCAGGTGGTGGCACTCTGTGACTAAGCTGCAAAATAGTAGGATCTGGATATTAGGAATAGCCGTAACAGCAAACACTACTTTGTCAATAAGCATTAAAACTCTGTTACATACCCTTGCATACATGTTTCCAGTGTCCATGTCAATGTAGGTTCCAATACCTTGCATCGCCCTTCTCATTTCACGATCAGTTACCCTTTTACTACTCGAACCAACATGGGGTGCCTACAATTTCATACACATTCAGCACATTCAGCTATGAATTTCATTCATTCCATTCATTCTTTCATTCATTCCATTCATTCATTCTTTCATTCATTCCATTCATTCATTCCATTCATTCCATTCATTCATTCATTCCATTCACTCAGTCAATTATTGTAACATAGTTAAAAGCTGGTTACCTGAATCCCTACAAGTAGTGGACAACGTCTTGCATTATGGTGCTCTGATCTACACTTGCTGCAACGACCCTTCTTCTTTTCTCGTGGCTGCTGTAAAATGTTACATTAATATACATTAATAACAAATAACAAATAAGTATTAAAAGGATCCTCTGCGAGTTACCTGATTCTCCCTTCCAGCGTCTTGATTTGATTGAGGAACAGGGGCTTGAGGAGTCGGGCGTGCTTGCTTCTTCTTCTTAGGAGCTGCAGCCTTGGGGGCAGCAGGCTCATTCTTGCATGTCCTCGAATTGTGGCCTTCTCCACCACATTTCCCACAATGAATCGAGATATTCTCCCTACTAGCAACCTCTCCAATTCCATTTTTAGCTTGCTTGCTTCGTATCTCCCAAGCCTCCCTCCGACGTTTTGTCTTTGGACGACCAGGCATGCGCCTAATCCGAGGAGGGTACACCTTGTTCCCAAAGACGGGCAGCCATGCTTGTCGACCTTCCGATGCTGGAATGGGAAACTTGTATGCCTTTTTCACAAACTCCATCTTGAAGAAGCCATCAACATAAGAATCCGGAAGTCCTCGCATGCTTCTGATGGATGCAAACGCATGACTGCAAGGAATACCATTTAATGCCCACCAACCGCATGTGCAAGTCCGGTTCTTCAGGTCAACCACGAAGGCCTTGTTCTCGACAGCAACCTCATGCATCGTCTCAGATGAAGGACGACTAGTGCACATTCGCGCTTCATGCTTTGACTTTTCCAGTTTTCCCCTGACCACAGGTGGGAAAGTGTCATTCCATCGCTCCATCTTCCGGCGGTTCTTCACTAGTCGAGTCATAACAAACACTCGAATTCCCTCCAACATTGCAATCGGTCTGAGAGACCTGAATCGCAATATCCAGTTATTGAATGACTCGCATATGTTGCTCTCCACCGAGTCACTCTTGGAGAATGTCTTCATGAACACACGACAGAAGTGCTCTGGTTCCTGGAGAGTGAATTGTATGTTAGGCAGGAGCTTTAATTTGAATATAAGCAAAGCAAGGAAAGTTGACTGCAAGAAAGATTACCTGAGCCATAAAATCAGCATACTCAGTCCCACCAAGGCCTTTCATTCGAACCATGGCATCTGTCCAATCAGAGTTATTGAGGGAGTAAACAGCTTCCCAAAACAAATCAGTAGCTGCTGCCGTCTTGTGCTTCTCCCGAAAGTGAGCATGAACATGCCGAGCACATTTCCGGTGTTCTGCATTTGGCAAGCAGGCATGTAGAGCCTCTACAAGCCCCTGTGTTAAACAATCGAAGTTAGGAGATGCGTGGGATTTAAATTTAGGTATTCAAATAGTCATAATAAGTAAAGTAGTTACCTTCTGTTGGTCAGAGACTATAGTAAACCCACTACCGTCTTCAGTCCCAAGTTGATTTTGCAAGGCATTTATGAACCAAATCCAAGATGATTTGTTCTCAGACTCCACTATTGCCCATGCAATTGGGAACATGTGATTGTTCCCATCCTTACCAACTGCAGCCAGAAGCATTCCTTGAACCTCCCCCTTTAAAAAACAACCATCGAGGCAGAAGAAGGGCCTACATCCTGCCAGGAATCCTTTGCTCAAACTGGAGAAGCTAATATAGAGCCTCTTGAAGAACACCTTGTCACAACCCGGATCTACATCCACCTCTAGAAGGAAGGAACCTTGCGGGTCAACTTTCAGAAGATGTCCTATATATGATCTAATCTGAGCAAAATCTTCTTCAAGTGATCCATATAACATGCGACGCGCTTCTAGCCTAGCTCGGTAGCAGGTTTGGTTTGTCACAACCAAATTGTACTTCCGCTTAATTTCAGCAGCTATTAGGCCTACATCCCAACCCTGATTTGCCCTAAATGTCTCGATAAATTCTTCTGCTATCCACCTCTGACCTGCTGCCCGAATGTGAAGTGAACGAGGGCAACTGTGAGCTGTTCCAACTCCTTTAACCATAAATGTTTCGTTCTTACGAAACCAACTTGCATATACCCTCCAGCCACATTTGAATTCTTTCCTTTGCGCACACACAGCTTCCTTCCTAAAGTCACTGCTCCTTACCCATCTGATATCAGCACCAATCACAATGGATTGCCTCATTACAGCTGCCTTAAACTGCTCAGGGGATTTAAAGCGCATACAAGGAACAAACTTCAATGCTTTATGATCGCACTTAGGATCATAAAGCAAGGATTTGTCAAACTTGGTGACATTATCTTGTTCACCAATGTTGCCTCTAACGTGAGCAGAGTACTCTGATCCCCTATACTCTGTTTCCATTGATCCCCCACTATTTGCATCATCTTCACCAGCTTGATCCCCCACATTCTGCCCTCCATTCCCACTGCCCACATTCTGCTCTTCACTTCCAGGCTCATTCTGCCCTCCATTCTCACAGCCCTCACTGCCCTCACTGCCCTCATCCTCCTCCAATACCACTTGATCAACCTCCTCACCAGAATCCTGAATCTGAGCTCTATATTTCTGTCTCCTGTTTCGAACCTTCTGCCTGATTTCATGGTACTCTTCATCAGATGTTTGGGCATCATCTTCTTCCCCTACTCGAACAAACTCAGGTACAGCCGAGTTTTCACCATCCTCATCAGAACCATCATGCTCATGGCCGTAGTTGTCACCCATAAATCCATCATCAACCAAGTCTTTTGTTGCTTCAAAGTAGACCCTCACCTGTCCTTTAGCTACACATGGGAGTAATCCATTCATAACCTCCGCGTCTGAATGAATTTCGTGCAATCCAGTGGCCATACTTTTACCCGGAGTCAAGTACCAAAGCCTTTCCACGGAGACATACTCTAAATCTTCAATTAGAGTCTTTGTTAGCTCGAAATAGGACAATACATCGACAACCATGTTCACCACAGCTTCATC